GTACAAGATTTCCTATTGGTCAGAAAGATCGATTTGACCCGTAAATGACCTCAGCAGTGATCGGCGATCATGGTGCGATGTGGCCAGGCCTGCCTTCGCTCGGTGTTCGCGACGAGTGATCAGTGATGAATAGATCGTTTTTCTGTCTGTTTACGGCTCAGAAAGTCCGTTTTTTAAAACGAGGTATATTTTTTTTCAAAATAATGAACTTTTCAAAATAATGAAAATTTTCATGCGGTAGCTTTTTAGGCATGCGGGCGGTGGACGCAAACCTTCAACTTTCATTCCCGTGGCCTAATTGATGCGGCAAAAAAAAATTTTTTTTTTATTCCCTCATCAATATTTTCTGATGTGAACGGGAGTGATAATCTAATAAATTTTTCTATTTGACCTAAGATGGGAACCCTCTAGGCCTAGCTAGCTCGGTTTTTTACAGTACTGTAGCAGGCCAGGCCATTATCCTTTTTCCTCGAGAGATAAACCCGACCACCTGACTGTCACTGGACTGGAGTTGTTTTGCGTCTGCGGTATTATAAGGCATGGGTACTTTATCTCCTTTACTAACAAAAATAAGATTAAAGAAAGGACATGGTATTTTCTTGACATGCCGTTACAGTGGAGAAAAGATAGTGAGGCTTAATTAAGCCAACTCCACCAGTAGCACCAGATTTGCATAAAATCTATGAACAATTCAGAAAACAATGCCCCTTTCTGGAGGTTTTATTGTAATAAAAAATGTTTCGTTATTATACCAGGTCCAGTGACAAGATTCCTTATTTTAACGTTCGCTGCCAGGGATGCGAGTTCACATTCGAGAGGGTTTAGTAAGGAGTGGCATTCATGTCCACACCTCTCTAAAACATACCACTAATTGTATTTCTACATGTAGACTTCGTAAACTCTCTGGCAGTTGTCGTGAACTCTTGCCACGAAGAACCTGGAAGTAACAATCTAGAGATAGCTACTTTTACGGGGGGGGGGGGGGGGGATTTTTTGAGGACTTGGTAGCACAAGTGTGGAAATTTATTGAAAAGTTTCAGCATGTATCAGGTATATTTGCAAGGACTTGGTAGCACAAGTGTGGGCAATACCTAGGTAAAATTTGGAGTTAAAGTCTTTGCTCTGTCCCGTATCAAAGTAGCATAATTTTTCACACGATTTTAGCAAAGATTTTTAATAGTATTTATTTTTTCATTTGTTAACTTTTTGTTTATATTGTTAGAAACAATATAAACCTAGTCATCACCAGCATAAGAAAAGCGTGGTCACAAAGGTGGTCACAAAGGTCACCTTTGCTTTGCTAACACAAATTAGTAGTAGTAAAATGCCTTATAGCAAGCTGAAATTTCGCATGTAGATGCTGTCTGATATGTAGTTGAATTGCTGTGAATATCTTGCATTTTTGATGAATAACAAAGATGTGTGCGATAAAACAAAGAGTCTATCTGCACCTAACAAGCCTACTGAGGTCTATGTTTGAGTTATTTCCAGTATACTGTATTTAATTGAATTAACATGGATTTCAAGCAGAACACGTTTTATTTATACCAAAATTCGGTGGGAATTCCGAAAAAAAAAAGAGGATAAACCTTTGTCTACTCAGTGAAAATTTCTCTTGCGACACACATATTAATCGTAATAAAACAATATTTATACCCGGCTAGAAAATGGACAGTTCTAAGTGCCCATAACCAGCATGCATGTGGTCTGTTCTCGCAGGTAGAAAAGGGCCCTGCTAGAGATATACCTTTTTTCGCATAAAAGCGCTTGAGTCATGTTTGTATCGAAAAAAGGAAAATCCACCAAAGTTCAATCAGTTATAACAACTCCGTGATTTATAATTAATTTATAAAGCTGATTTGTTTTTAATATGACAAGTTAAATTTTACAGTCAACAAAGTACAGTCTTTCGATTCGGGGGACCTAAAGTATTGCTTACAGTAGACGAAAACGCATCTGCATAGCAAATATTTATGTTAGTAAACAATGACCCGTAGCCATGTTTATGTGAGCATAAACAGAGAGGCAGACAGACTCAATTTTATATTTAGGCCAGCATGTAGCACTATCTTACTGTACCTTGGTATTTAAAAGTAGATTTGTGACCCTCAAGATAATGATCTTATGGTTGCAATTTAATTATAATGAATGTTCTTTCCTAACATTACAAGTAGTACAATTACAAAAATAGAATAGAATATGAAATTTCCAAAAATCTTCAAAGGTCTTTGCAGCCAGCAGGGGGCTACGATCACAGTATGATAGTTTCAACTTTGGTCCATGAAGTAGTTGCTTGATTTGAGATCATCTTTGGCCCACAAGATCGAAGTTCAACAATAATTTGGCCCTTCAAATATATTAATTAAGTGCCAGGGTCATACTGTAGACCCTTAATCTGTAAACGTCTCCACTACCTCCACCACCAGCCCATTCTATTCTACAATATACTGATTCTGCCAGTTGTATTTTCAATAAAGTTTTAAGTACAATAAGTTTTTGAACAGATCAATAGTCTTAATAACTTCTATGGAAATGTCAACAGTTGTGGTAAATAGATTGGTATTGATTTCTTCTCCCTTTTCTTCTAAAAGGACTAGAATACTGTATGCGTCGTCCATTTCTTAATCAGAACTGAAGACTGCCTAGTAGTAATAGTATTCTCTGGTTTCATGAGTAGTGCTTTCCAGTTAGTTTGTAATGTTGTGATATTGAAGGGGGCAAGTGAAAAACAAGTTTTCAAATCTAAGCTTTGTATTTTCTTAAATAAAATTTCTGGCGGATCAATTGTGGATTTGTTTGCACATTTATTATATATTAAGGTGAGTAGAAATGTTTAATGAGAGGACTACTTTGATAACTTATTTATTCAATCATATTTAGTGCTATTCATCACCTTTGGCCTGTTACTGTGTAATCAATCCAGGAGCTCTGCCTTATACCCGATTCACACGTACAAAAATCTTACCAAATGTAACAAAATGTAACCAAAAGTAACATTTTACAGCACGTGTGAAAGTACTGTACCTCCGTGTAATATCCTTGTAAAATCGCGGAACGTCTCGGTAATCTTTACCAGCCACGCTGAGGCTGGTAAAGCTTCCGAGATGTAGCATGGATGGATCTGCGCATGCGCAGGGATTTCAATACAACAACAATCTACTGTGTTTCACGGGGTTCTTTGAATTTTCTTCCTTCTGCAGACGATTCTGATCCACTAGAAATAGATAGGCCTAGTTTTTTTTTTAATGATGAATGAATTTCCCTTGTTATTGATGTTAATTAGTAATGGTAGAAGAAGAAGATATACATAAAATGAACGTCGGGATGGTGTTAGTACTATCACTAGTTATCAAAAGTCGACAGAAACTTTGGAAGCTGTGCCTAGTTTAGTAGTAGCAGTACAGCAGTTGTTAAGGGCATTGATTGCTTCGAATGTTTACTGTGATGGTGAGTTCAACAGTCCATCTGTGACAGGGGTTCTCAACTAGGCCTAGGCAAGACCTATATCGCAGTAGGGGAAAAAATGATTCATTGAATAAACACTGAATAAATTTTACACGACCTTGGCATTACCTTACAGACGCGTGTGAATGCTTTTTATCTCGGTAGGAATAACTCGGGAGATCGCTCGGTTACAATTTGTTACTTTTTGTTAAATTTAACTTCACGTGTGAATCTGGTATAACTCACATTAACATGCACTATATATGCAATATCAAGAATCCACCCCTTTCCCTTCCCACATTTTAGTTGGCTCCCAGTGCAATGATGTAGAATTAAAAGGATTTTTTTCAATTTGAGATTTTAAAAGAATAATTTTTCTCTAAGGTGCACAGTCAATATAATGTTTACGAAAACAAAACAAAAATTCATTGTAAAAAAGAACTGAATTAAAACAAAACAATTAAAACAATGGAAGGTTATGGATAAACATTAACATAAAATGAAGTCCTTTAATCAGTTGAAGTTTTACTGTAAGGAGAATTTTTTTGCATCGATTAAAAACTTTATGATAGGAGGAGCGGATCAAAAGGTGTTGTGTTTATTATGATCTTAAATTACAATATAATTTTATCAAATGTGTTTTTTAGGGAGGAACTAGGGGTCACAGAAATTTGAAATAAAAAACAGAAGGCACATTTTCTTATTTCTGTCTTTCATTCTGTTTTAGTTTGATGCTTTAGGTTAGATCATCTCTGCAAAGAAGATTTTAGATTTTCATCATACAACCGATGTTTTCATTTGAGATGTCTCCTTGTTATTTTAAAGACCTTTTAAACTAGGAGCTCATTTTTCATTTTATTTCATAGTTGCTATGGTAACATAAACCAGTAGCTTGGCACCCCATAATTAACCTTCACAGCAGGGGGTATTCCCAGTTAGATTCCTTTGAGTAGCTCAATTGGACCATGTCAAAGGTCAGATGCTGTACCCATTACTCACCTTTAATGTGCTTCATATAATAATAACAGGTGAAGTACTCCAAACAGATTGTCCAACAACAACAATTTTTGATTTATAACAGTTTACTAGTAAGTGTATGTTGTACATATGAATTTTTTTTTTTTTTATTGGATTTTGCGCATTTAAAACAATCGACATCAATACAGTTTTCTGATTTGTAGACATTTTAATTATTAATTATAAGCATTTTTGAATTAATTGCCAGATAAAAGTAAATTAATCAATAATTATGTAAACTGTTAAGTAGCAAGAAATAAAATTTTTTTTTTCAAGTGATAAAGCTTTAATTGATAGCAAATAACATAAAAACTTGCAATTCTAATTTGGAATTTATAGTTGAGTTAGAATACAGGGGCATTAGGCCCTGGGACTGAAGAATGGCGGGGCCTGGGAGTGAAGAATGGCGGGGGCCCCGGAGCGAAATGAGCAATCTTTAATGGGGAGCAGGGGACGTACCTGGCCCTGGACTGGGGAAAATCAAAGCATACAGTATTACAGGATATTATTAGTTAATGCTGAATTTAATTATGTCATTTAATATGTATTATTAACAAGTTTAATTTATCATGCATTATTTATAGGAAGGATATTCTAAGTCATTCAGCACCTTAGTCACGTAATTATTATTGCCAATTAATAAGTTACAGTAGTATAGAAGTGATTAAGCATCGATGATTTAGTTAAGTATTACATATCTTTATGATCTGATTAATTTTAATATGATTACTTTCTTTGATGTTTCCTGTTAATTACGAAGGTTAAGGAGTAGCTTTGGTTTGTTTGCCATTCTCTACTACTTTGTCCCATTTGTAAAGTTCCCAGAGAGGCCATGATGCTTTCAGTGAGGTGATTACTATGTTTAAAAATTAGCTAAAACACAGGAGCATCTTTGGGCATTCCCTCCTCTACCCCCACAATAGGGAGTCTACTTCGTGAATTATTTATTATAATTTCAAAAGCTAGCAACCTGAAATTCTGACTACTGCACTACAGTAAATGTACATTGATTCAAAGTTAACATTATCTTATAATTACAAACAATAGAAGTAAAAATGAACACATCTGTTTATGTTTGAAAAAAAGATAAAATGATATATAACATGATATATGATAACTTGGATAAAGAAAAATCAAAGTATTTTTCAAAACTCTTTAATAAAATTTACCTACTGTATATTAATGTTGTTTATTGACAGAAAATGTTATTGAATTTTTTACACATATAGGTTTAGGCCAAAATGTTTGAAATGGAGGTATACTCTACTGTACTTAAAAGATAGGGCAGTATGGATCCTTACATTATACTGTAATAGGCATTAACATAGAACGAACGGTACTCTGAATAAAGAAAGGGAGGCCATGAGTATATTGAAGTAATGGTGGGCTGACAAAAATGGCGATGCAAATACATGGCGCGATTACTACAGCTCTACAGTACTTTAACCTACTGTACAAGTTACTTTTAATCATATGATGTGCTGTATTGTAAACCAGAAAAAACAGTGGCAACAGTTCACCAAACAACTGCAGTCAAAATGTCGGTTCTTTTCTGCATTGATACAATGACACTAAACCTCAATAAATATAGCTTAAATGGACGCAACAGCTCCTATTGTTACACGGATTTGGTCCAAAGGAAGTTGCTATTGGTAACAATAAACACCCAAAGTATGCTCATTTTCAAACTAGAATGTTAAACCATTGTTAAACAGATAGTGTACAGAAGTTCATTGTAGGACAATCAAAGTATGATATATTCGCAATCCGGGAAAACAATTTTATTGTTGGTTTGTGGGTACTTTTATTGCAGAATTATTGTTAGTACATGAAGTTCATTCGCTATTGATATTTTTTATATCTTTTGTTTGAGCACAGATAATATATAGGAACATAGTAATTGTGGTTTGACCTTCGTAAGTTATCATACTACGTGAGATGTCAGCTGATAGCGGAGGAAGCAAAACGAATCAATCATTTATCATGCTGTACCAAACAAATCAATTGGCTGCTCTTAGTTCATAATGCTTGTCTACTGTGTGCATTACATGATATTAACTCAATGTATTTTCTTATCCAAAAGATTTTGAACACTGAAAAATATCGACGGCATTTTGAGAATAATTCACGTACTGTACGTGCTGGAGATATGGTTGTCTCCTAATCATGTGAGCACTTCGGAGCAGGTGAGTTCTTCATTTTGTTGATTGTGGCTGTCTTTTGTGCACGAATGTGGCTGTAAATGTTAGAGTTGGTTTAGAGGCATATTCCCACTGGTGCAAGCATTAGTGTAGGTAGTGGTAGTGATGGCAACAATAATAGTTGAATAGCAGGTCAAGTTCGGGGAATTTTTATTAAAGTTAATGTAAATGTTGGAAATAAACAAAAATTTATCTATTTAGTGAACCATAGTATTAGTTTAATAATAATAATAACAATAATGTTATCTTTATATAGCGCATATTGCACATTGCCCCTGCGCTTTACACAGAAATATATAGGCCAGAAAAATACAAATATTGTATGATATAATGATAATAATAATAATAATAAAAATAATAATAATAATAAAAATAATAATAATAAATAATACAAATAATAACAATATTGTTATTACAATATAGTACATAGTAAATTAAGTGACTTCATTACTAAGCAATTATTATTATTTAATAATAATTGCTAGTAGTAATGAAGTCACTTAATTTACTATGTACTATTGTATGAGTTTTAATAGAAATACTGTTTAGGTGTCTCAGTTTTATATCTCCCAGGGGTGGATGTAGGGTGAAAGCATGGGTACTTCAAACTATTAGGCCTAAAAAAATAATTATTTGTGTGCGCTTCTTTTTTTAAATGATAAAAAGGGGTGGGTGAAAAAAGTTTTTTTTTTTTTTTTCAAAATTACTCATCAGATGGAATAGAAATAACCCACAGTTAACAATTTGCAGTGAATGTTGGCCTAGAATGGCAATATCTTATATCAGACAACTTTGTAGGGCATCTGGAAAAAAAATAAGTATGTAAAGAAAAAAAGCTAAAAAAACCTTTTTTCAAGTTTTTTTCTTGTTTTGCCACCCCTATTTTTTCATTGAGTTAAGGGTGGTTAAGGAGGGCAAACAAACAATTTTTTTAGGCTTTTATAACTGTTCAAGAAAGACAATGGTTAATCTGGCAGTTCAATTAATAGAATGTATTATGAAATGCGTTTGTTTATAATTAATGTTTTAAGCAAACAATATCTTTACACACTGAGATACTGTGCACTTAATACTTGGTTAAGGATTAAAGATGCGTGAAAGTGCAGCTGAATTGTTTGTCGCATTGTGCGTACCTGCTGTTAAGGAAAACAGGAAAAGGAAGGATACACGCTTAGTTCATAATCTTTGCCCATGAGATCACTGACTGTACTGAAGAATACTAAGCTTAACTGAATTCACAAACTGTAGAAATAGATACTGATTAGTAACAGGGAGAGTTTAAATGGGGGTTACTATATTAATGATATGTGAATGTCAGGGAAAAATGATATATTTTTTAATATTCAGAAGTGAATCTTTCAGAATGAAACATTTTAGCCTAAAAAATATTCTAATATTAATAAAAGAAGTACATATTGAATTCATAGCAAACATGTACACAGTGTGCATACTAATGATAATTAAATATTAATTTAACAATTAATTATAATATAAGAAAAGTATATATTTTTTATTAATGTTATATAATGTACTGTACAGTACTGATAAAATGTCAAAATTTACTTAAATTGTTTTAGTTATAAATATGATTTTTCCTATTAATATTGTTGTTAAGGTAATTGTGTAGAAACATTATATTTACTATAGCCTGTAGGCCCATCATTATACTGTACAAGTAAACAGTTAGAGAGTCTGGCTGTAGTACAGTTCTAAAAGAACATGGAATAAAATTTCATTACTGTTGATGAGAACATTGAGCATTTCCATCATGACCTTTTGTATGCAATACTAAATATTAATGATAATGGCTTTCTCTGCATGATTTGACTCAGTGCTGATTCATGACATGTTTTCTTTAAATGTGAATTTTCATAAGTTTTTACCTTTTTGTTGTTGTGGTGTATAAATAACCTGTATTTATAATGTGATTTTATTAGCTTTGTACCATTTTCAACATTCCACAATGGTTGTGAGTGCCACTGATCTTAAGTTAAAGTGTTGTTTTCAAATAAAGTATACAAATGTAATGTCAAATTTGGGGCTAATTTTTAGATATAACCTAGCAAGGTAATGGGTATAGAGTTTTTTAAATACTGTATAGTTTTAGTGATAAACAAGAGACATATTTGTAGCGATGGCTCAATGTGCATTTAAAATTGCTTTTCATGCGATAAAGAGTTTTGTGCAAATTTAAGTATTCCTGTATAGTAAGGAGTGAATGCTGTGACACCTGCCTATAGGTTAAATACCATCTTATTGTGGCAAATTATTTTCATTATTTGTAAAATATTTAATAAGGATGCATAACCAAGATATTTCTATTGAGATTATTATCTTCACATGAGATACGATGCATGGGATATCTTGTAAAATTGATTTTTATAATTGAGATGCTGGGTTTGGTTTTTTTTTTTGACAATTTTAATTGCTACTCTTGGCATTAAATTTTTAAGACCATTTTTCATGACGTAATTATTATAGTATCAAAAATGTTTTAAATTGCATTTCAACTTCATCCTACCTATTTGCTACGCCCCAGATAAGTAGCTTGTACACTCTGTCATACTCAATGTTAAGCCGGGCACCCACTGTGTTGTGCCACCGTCAGTTGACGAATCTAACTCCGCTCCCTGCGAGCCCTAGATTACGCAACACAGTGTGCTGATTGTCGGTGCCCAGCATGAACGAATCGCATTAACCGATTAGTTATACATATGATGCATTGTGGCGTTGCATCCTCTATAGAATCATGTAGGCTGCCGACCGTCACGTAGTGAATATCAAGCTTGTGAGTTTTTAGTCTTTAGAAACCAGAAAGCAGCACAATGTATTATGACACTTACAGTTTTTCTACATAAATTGTGTGAATTTGAGAGTCAATAGCATGATTTCAATTGGAAGACAAGTGTGAAAATTAGGAGACTGTACCAATTCGGTAGAGTTTGCATGCAGTACAGTATGATTATCTTATTTGTGACATTCAATGAGACACATTTGTAATCCTAAATTTACAACTGTTTATCATTTGATAAATGGAAGAGGCATGTGGAAGTGACTAAAGGAAGTAGTTTGGCAGTGTTGTGAAAGAAAAAATTTCTCTGACTTTTGCATTCACAGTGAAGTCTTGGGGCCTGTTCAAGCGAAAAATTATCTGCAATTTACCAGTTAAATCACCAGTACACACTTTCTAAAACCATTCGGACACCAGCCTAATTACCTTACCATCTAGGTTATTCGCGAAAATTTTGACACCTAAATTGCTGGGTAGAAATTCCGTGAATGGAATGGCCATGGAGCCGGAGGCGACAATAAATCAACCTTAATTGTTTTCCAATTTTTTGTCCACAGTCCAGTACACGAAAAATTCAATAGGGTTATGGCCCAGTCCTAGTTGCAGCTCTCCTTTGCCTCCTCTCATGCAAGACGAAATAAAAGTTGGACAGTCAATCCATCAGCATAACATCATATCATTGGAGCCACAAAGGTGGCTAGTAGCATAGCTACGCGTTCGATTTGTAGCTTTACCATTATTTGGAGAAGTAATGTTGAATAAACTAGCCTACGTACAGATTTTAAAGCAGCATTTAAAAGTTGTTGAACTCGAATATCGTTCCTGCGTGCCACACCGGGCATATGTGGGCCGGTATAGCAGCTGTAGAAAGTAAACAGAGTGGGTTGACCATGGGATAAGTTTAAATTTATTTCTGGAGTAGTTTCGTTACAGGGTATTTAACATGAGCTAAAACTTGCTTGAACGGTCGACCACCCACCGAGTGCTCAGCGCGATTAACCGGTGAAGTAAACGGAATACGGTTGCCGTTTTTCACTCGAACGGGCCCGTAAATCTCAGAACTCTATAGCCCATGATGAGGCTAGTAAAGCTCTTGAGATTACACTGATGTATTCCTAGAAAGTTTAACAGTAAAGTAGAAAGAAAAATAGTGTCCTTTTAATAGGGGTGTTTCCCTTTAATAATGTTTGGGTGTAGTATTAAAAGATATTTTTTCTCGCTTCACACCTGGAAAAGTCCCCTTTAAATTGGGGTGTCCCAAAGGTTAGCTCTACTGTATACGTGCTTTTTGCACATACTGTAAAAGATTTATGTTACTACACATGGCAATATATTCATGTGACCTAATCACATCCTGTTCATTTTATGCTGTATTTCCAGTTAAATTGCCTTTACCAAGTGAACCATGCAAATGTTAACTACATGCCTTATATAGTAGAAGTGATTTATGAGGTGGGCATATTGTAAAGGGCTTATGGAATTTAGACATTTTTGGTTCCTTATTCCTAGCTTACATTAATTACTTTAATAGAGATTTCTCACTGGCTTTTAAATTTTGTGTACACCACTTTCATAGAGAAGGACACACACTGTTTTAATTGTGTAAGTTTTTTTGTTTATTTGTAATTTCTGTATTTGTTGTACATGTTGCATTTCTGATTTTGATAATTCTAGGTTTGTTTAGTATGGAAATTCCATTGGCAATGTTGGTGCTTTTCATACTTATATTATTTTTTGTGTCTGAACAAATCTAATAAAATATCTTTATTATAATCTGAATTCAAAGAAAAATAATATCAGTTTAATACATTATGAGGGGATGAATGCCCATTATTATTTTTTTTTTTATACTCATGGGTTTTTTTTTGCAATATATTTGAATATTTATACATTGGTAAACTTTATTTAAGAATACACTTGAATTTACAGTAATCCTGACACCTTCACTAGATTAATAGTTAGATCCAGTATTACATTAATCTGGGTATTAACATGGTTCACACCAAACTTAATCCAGTTAACTAAACTATTATTGAACATACGCTTTTAGATCAGCGGCACATGTCAAACTGATAGTGCATTCACATACAATTAAAAAAAGTAAACATACAACATCAAGAGACTTAACAAAGAAAATTAATCTGAACAAAAATACAAGATAAACAAAGATTTAAAAATTATATAGAACAACAGATGTAATATTTCATACAGTTTTTGACTGGTATTTGGAATTATAACTGTTCTGAAAGTGCAATGTGAACCAGGCTGTGTTATTAGCTGAGAATTAATATCCATCATTAGGGATAAAGCTCTTTTGTTTGCCGTCTAGTGATGGTGTTACATTGTTACTAGTTTCTAATCTTTTAACATCTTTTAGGTTACAAAGCTGTAGTTTCCTTAAAGGAAATTATAGAAAGGTTTAGGAAAGGAGTTTTGATTAAATTCTTAATGTTGAAATTAGTTATGGAAAGTACTGCATAATACAAATTGAATGTTTTAATTATTACTCCTTCCATTAAAAAAGATGTTTTGAAGTTGAGAATAAAGTGTTTAATAGATTATTATGTCCCATTTGTCACAATAGATGCAAAAACAAAGAAAGTCTATAGTACACTATAGCCCTATTGTATTTTTATTTACTTCATTCAATTTTCAATAGACAATCAAAGTAGACTATATATTTTAGTTATTATTCTAAATCACTTTCATAAAAATGTTTCAGGTCTTAAAAATGGCATTGCATCCAAAACAAAAATTATTATTATTATTATTATTATTATTATTATTAGAATAAAAAAAATAGTAAGTCTTTAAAAATTAAACTATAAATTATAAATTCAATGCATGATATATATTTAATATATTTTTTAAAATATGCAATGAAAATGTATATCAAATTCAAATGGGAATAATTTAATCAATGAAATAAATATTATTAACCAATTTGTATTACTGTAACTGTGATTATCATAAATTGACAATGATGATTATTAGTCATAGAAAGCCTCTTTAGATACTGTATTGCATTCTACTTACTGCAATGTCTTTCTCAAATCATTTTTGTGTTGAATATCAGTATTAATGATATTATATTTTGTTTTGTTGACAGGATTGATGCCATCATCTGTTGTAACTATAAACAAATATGCATACACAAAGTAGCTGTTTACATATACTACTAAGAGGAAAAGGGTAAAGAACTACCCCTGTGCACAATGGCAGGGGTACAACCTTGCCCTCCCAACTTCAAACCCAGAAAAAGTAATCGCATCTCACTGGATGAGTTTGAACAAATTGAAAGTTTATTGAAAATGCAATCTCAGAATTCGGATGATGGTAATGACTGGATGGAGGCTCTCCGAGAGCAAGGTGTTCTATGTGATGGAGATTTTGGAGATGAGGAGGATAATGGTGTCCTCTTAGATGACCAACTGCATGTGCGACTTAACACATCTGAAGAGGAAGCACTAGCTAATCAAGGCGTTCTTTTTAGCACTGATGATCTCACGACCGATGATCAAAAAGAATTGCCCCGTAAACACTCTAACTTACCTGCCAGCCGTCAATTCAATGGCATGCATACCACTGATAAAGTTGAAGACAGTGGGGGTCTTGATGAATTTCTTCAGCATACTCCATCACCATATAGTCTTGATCAGGAAGAAGAACCAGAGTTAAGCTATCTTGATGATAATGACTACGAGAGACAAGGATCAAGTCTGTCAGATCACACTGATAACCGGTTGGGATATCAAAATTCAGAGAATATTAGTGAGTATTCTAATGAAAAGTGTGATAGAGAGAGTGACAATCCTGAACATTATCTAATACTGAACCATCATAACACTCTAGCAAGGACTATACATGCTGGTGTGTCACCACATCCAGATTCATTCACTAGAGACAGTGATCCCATTCCATACTCCAGAAATCAGTCCATTAGATCATCTTTAAGATCACTTCATACAGAGGAATCTGGTTCCATTGCACTTGACATTTTTTTAGATCCAGAGCTTGAAAGGACAATTCAAGAAGTAGCATCGCAAGTGGAGAGTTTTGCAAGTCCGCGCCCCAGTTCGACAGATGGTCGGTTGTGCTTTGCCAGTGAAAATGACATGGACACGACCGGTCAGGTGACCTCTTATATGACAGAGGAAGTCGATAATTTTGAAGTCAACAATTCCTATAATCGACAAATGATCACGAATAGATATAAAGAAGAGTCGGCAGTTGAAAGTTACGAGAGTGATACAGGAGCTGTTAGTGAATCAGCGAACTTGAATCTTGGAAACTTTGTGCCAAATGCAGTACTACGTAATCGACCACCAAAGCCTTCCGCAATTAAACTCTCTGCTAAAGCCATGCAGCAAGATGAAGCAATAGGTCATGTTAACGGTGAAGTTGATGATGTAAAAAATGGACCACGGTATGAAACAGATAGTCATTTGGAAGAAGCATCATTGGCATCATCATCGGTTTGTCATCAGATTACATCGCACAAGACCAACAAACCCAGGATGGGATCACAATCAAACTTTAGCATTGACTCTGATTTGCCTCCTGATGAATTAATTGACCAATTAAAACATGAGAAATCTACTCGTAAACAAAATGATGAACTAGTTGATCGCTTGCAGCAGGACTATGATGACTTATTACAGAAGTATGCCCTTGCAGAGGTGACTATCGACCAGCTACGTTTAGGAGCTAAGGTGAACCTATACTCTGATCCTCCACCTGGAGTGCAAGGAAGCGATGGTAGGGACACACCTAGAGCCAATCACCCACAAACTATTCACTTACCTCAGCCTCAGAGAGCAACTGTTGTTTCAACCACTACCTCTCACCAGTAAGTCAAACTGATAAATTTTTTTTATGAAACATTTTTTTGTCTTTACACTATGTGGACTCTTGTTTAATGAAATATTTTCTTGATTTTAAATCAATTGAACTTTACCGTTATAAATTATTTGCTTTCATAAATAAAGGAAATCAGGAAATAGTACAATGACATCTCCGAAGCAAACACCAGAGAAGAATCAGTCACATGGAAAAACAAGAGAAAGTGGAACAGGAACGTCATACTCCACACCCGAAGATGCAGTGGGAAAGGCAGTAGCAGCATCTTACTCTGCACACGAGGATACTCTACCATTCCCAGAGTTCACAGGTTCAGAGGGCATTGCTATTGGTTTACAGTTCCAGACAAAAGGACTTGAAGAACAGGTGAGCCTTATAGAATGCTCAATTAAATAAGTGTATTAACTGCAGACTTGCTGCACTTGGGAGGATGTTAAGTGATCATAGCATAGAGCAAAGAAACAATTTCTTTGCTCTATGGTTATACATTAAAATGAGTGGGGCAGCAGCCATTTCAAAACATGCGACACATGCAGTGGTTATTTTACCAGAAAATATTGTGAATTTGGAAGCATCATTTTGCAAAATTTTGTGTTGGTCAACTTCCACGTTCTTCTAATAGTGCAGCATACTGGACAAAAAATATACCCAAAGTTTGTGACTTTATTATTCCAACTACAAAGGCTATTAATCTTGCAAATAGTAAATTTGTTTGTAAATACTAAATTGTTTCCTGCTGAACCTAGAAATCCCTGGTTATGGTATTGAGAATGAAAAGAAGTAATTATTTTGTAATGCCTGACAAAAGTAGAGAGTTTTCCCCCATGTCACAAACTTAGGTATAACAAACTTTTATAACAATACATTTCTTGTGGACAGGTGCAAGTATTTGAGAATCAACTTGCTGCTGATGAACTTCAACCCGCCGAACAAGATCAAATAAATTGCAAGCTCCGTGCTGATCACGAGGCACTCGAACAAGACTACATGCAAGCTAGAGAAGAGTATCAGGCGAGACGCCGCAGGGATGGTAACCTTAGTACCCTCAATGTGACGTTTGATGCCGACAGAGAGGTGGAAGGTGGGATCTTCCAGTTGGGAATGAAACTTGACGATATTAATGAGATTGTGGAGAAAAATCTACGCAACCAGAGACCAGAAACACCACCAACCCGACGTGATTTCTTCCCTGAGCACAGCATAGAGGATGAGATTGAAAGGCGAAGAGTGGATATGGACCGGCATTATGACAGTTTGATGGACAGGTACTGTATGATTAGTTGCAACTTCACAGGTGGTTAGCATGGGCATGCTTGTTACCCCCAGTCACTTCCTCCCCAATGAAAATGTCCCAAGCAAAAAAATATTATGCTCAAGTAGTTAAAAATCACCTCATACCACCTTTTTTTTTTACGAATTAGCTCTAACTTAATCATCAAACTCCCCCATTTCACATTTGCATCCCCCTACCCCATCATCTCCACCATATCAAGACTCCAAGAAAGATATACCATTGCTACATAAGGTAGAACCCAGTTAAATTGCATATAGTGTGTTAGGGACAATCATAAACTGTGGGTAAAGGTTGCTAAGGAAAAATTACAAAATTTAATTTAGGTACACTATATACATATTTTCTTTGCGAAAGCAGTTGTTTTTAATCAGCTGAAGAAAATTCTCATATTTGTCAGATTTGGACCAAGAATCCTAAAGTAACTCTATGTTACCACTTTTTCAGATATGACCAGTTGAAGAACTCTACATATTATCCTAACAGAGACCAGGAGATAGAGGACCTTGTCATGGTAATATTTTCATGCACTTCTATTTTAACAATTTTTAACTTTTAAGTATTTCCATTGCATTCTTGTATTTGTTGTTAAAGATTTATTGCTCCCCAGAAATGACAAAAAATCATAAAAAATGATTTTGAAATTACCTAACTTGAGCATAGAAATTATTCAATTTAAAAAATGTGTACCCTAATTTTTATACTGGATAATGATGAAAATAATAAAATCACTTACAGTAACTAAAAGTAATTCTATTATTTTTCGTTGTAAAATTATGGATAAATATATTGTAAATATACTAATACCTATGTTCAAGTTAAACATTTTTGTTACTTCAAAATGAGCTATTTAATTTCAAAAATGATTTTTGACATTTGTTTAACAAATAAAATCTCTGTACTTTAGAACTAAAGTGAATATTCCTATAACACATCAGGTTTTGCCAATATCTATACTATTGTTATCATTGAGATCATTGTTTCAATGGTCGTACATTTGGAATGGCCTTTGTGCACTTGGAATAAATATATTCCTTTTCCCAGGATTGAGTGCAGTGGAATGGAGACACTCTAGTGTTATATAAGATTGTTTTGTTGTTTATAGGCGTTGGAGAACCTACATCACCAGGACCCATCTAGGTACCCTCTGAAGCAAGCTCCACTGAAGTCTTCCACCCTGCCAGGCCAATTCTTAAGTACATCTCAATCAGCTGTTAGTGTTAGTCCATCAAGCCCTGGTACACAGAGTAAAGGTGACATATCATTTGCTTCAACACCAGGAAAAACACCAGAAACTTCTAACATATCTCCACAAAAAGGTTTGTGTTGTGTTTGTGGTTGTAAGCTGTATAATATTAATCTAATAATCTAAACAACTTTTATTTGCATTTAAATTAATTATTACTTCCGCCATTGAGGTTATGTATTCACTGCCCTTTTTTTTGGTCTATTCATTTATTATTAAGGATTGCGCATAACCTGATTAATAGATCATCATAAAGTACAGGGGATCTGTACATATTGGTCTAAATGGTAAATAAATTTTGGTGCAAAAAGGTTGAAGATCAATGTCTCAGAAAGTCAAATAATAAATAATAAAGTAGTCCGGTGGAGGTATGCATCCTATTGAGTGCCCGCTCTAGTTGTTGTAACAATTATTGTTGTTATTACTTTCTGATCAAGTAAAAGTTCATAATTTCGATTCCTGTTCATTCAGAAAATGGAGAGAGCTTCTGTAGGTGCCAAAGCTCACAAACTAATGTAGATTTTTTTTTTCTTTTTCATTCTTATAGCCGGCTAGGGATACTTGTATTTATATATTTATATTCTATGGATATGAATGTCTGAAATAAAGAGAGAAATTAAATAATGTATTTAATACCAAAGTATCTATGTTTATATCTTGATTTGATATTTAGTTAGTACTATTCATCTAAATATCCACCACTTACAGAATGAAATTTGAACATGTAACTAGTAGAAAAACGTTAACCTAATAAAATGCAAAATGATAATTTTTTAACAGGTACATCAAGCAGTAAGATTCCTTACTGGAACTCCAGTTTGAACCATGAGGGCAGTATATCAGAGTCTACAACATCTCCAGATACTGTTCGCAGAAATCCTGTAAAAGAGGTAGGTTTGAATTCTAGAAGTAAAAGTCAATTACAAATTTCAATTTTTTTAAATTGCAGTGTTGATATCCATATTGGAAAAATGCAGTAGAAGCACCATTTGAAATTATAGTAATATATACACAAATTGTTATCTCCAATGCAAAATCATTGTTTGTTGGTTTAAACTCACATCAATCATCAATAATAATTTATAATCTATTTTTTAATTCACCAGTTTCACAGAAATGGCAGTTCTTCAAAGTCGGCTACTAATTATGTTCCTCGGAAAGAAAGCCAGGACTCTCAAGGTGTTGGTTCCCGCCAGAAGTCTCCTGAGCTGGATCGTGATAGTGGCTTTATGGGGTCAGAGAGTAGCAGACAATCGCAGTTAACTAATCATTCTGGGTCTGGGTAAGCTATAATTGCGAGATTTATTAAAAATGTGTGTATAGCCTAAGTGTACATCTATACAGGCTAGCTTTGCAAGGAAATATATTTTAAAATTTTATTTACCTTTTATAGTGTTGAAAAGGTAATGTTAAATGGTCCTGGAAAGATTACTTCTACTGGTATCCATCAAGTGGATGATGAATCAGTCCTTCCAGTGAGATCCAAGAAGTTGAGCTTCCAGAGGCAGCCAAGTTATGACAGCTATGATGGTCCAATTTCTCTCCATTTTGATAGTGATGCAGAAGAGCAGTCTGTCTCGCAGTCAGAACAGACAACAGTACGGTGCCAACCTTCAAAACAAGATCACAGAAAAACTCCTCTTACCAATGGTATGCTTAGTATAGTTAACTCTGTTTAAAAGATGTTTAAAGCTTTCTGAAAAACTACTAGGAGTGTTGGATAATACTACACTCTACTTAGCATCCAGTTTTACCAAGTTAATGTTATTACGTAAATTGTTAGGAAACATTCTTGTATGTATGTAAAGGATTTGTAATAATTGTAAGTTTTTGGGTATTTTTTAGGAAATAGTCATCCAGTTCCAAACCAGTTCCAGCAACAGTTTCATCAAAAGCAGACACATCCATCTGCTGCAAACTTTCAGGATTATCTAACTCCCCAAGCTGCTGATTGTTTACCACCACAACAAAAATCTTTATCTGCTCCCTATGGTTCTAGAAATAGATCAAAAACATTAGGTGGCAGCAGGCTGCCAGAAAAACCGAAAGCTCGACTACATAAGGATGTGGATCCACGATCTGAGAGATCACATACTATTCAAAATGGATACCATAAAGAGAGTATGTATCCTAGCAGATTTTTGAAACCTGATACAGAAATGGTTCATGAAGATGACTCAATATCAAATGCCACAAGAGGCAGTGTAAAGAGTGCAACCTTGAAGGCACTTCAAAAACAAATAGTCCAGTTGAAAGACAGGTTAGCAGAAGCTGAAAGTGCTAGAAGTCATGAAAATGGAAATAGTACTAAGCCTTCTTATCATTGGGAAGAGTTCTCCAGTCAGAAAAGAAAAGTGGCAAGTGCTAGTGCATCAGATACTTCAAGTGTTAAGAGTGAAGTTTTGCATTCTCTTCAGAATGATGTCAGAGAATTACAGAGCAGACTAGCAGCAGGAGATAGACTTCCGCCACAATCTGGTCATGCTTCCGTCGGCAATGATTTACGAAAGACTCTCAGAGACAATTACATTCCAAAACTACCTTCTAGTGTAGATAACTTTTCAAGGTCAACCAATCCTAGCCGCAGAAGGATCCTTAGATCAGGGAGTAGTGATGCAAGTGATACTGTAGTTGGAAGTTTGACATCTAACACAAGAAGGAGATCACCATTAAGAGTAAATAAAGGACATACTACAAACCTCACTAGAACAAGCAATCCTCATACAATTATATGCACACATTGTCAGGGCTCAGGAATTTGTTTACATAATGATCACACACTTCCAAGGTATGAAAATACTCAACAGACTGCTCAACAAACATATCCTAATAATTTTGCAGAAGCAAATGGATTCACACAACAAGTTAATACACCGCATACTAATGCTCGGCCTGTTCAATCAAGTTATTTAGCTCAGTCACCAATACAACCAGGATATTCACCACAATCCCCAGCACCGCAATACATGAGCACCCCAGTTGCTCACCACACACCTCAATACATGGGCACCCCAGTTGCTGAACACACACCTCAATACATGGGCACCCCAATTACTCAAAACACCCCCCAATATATGAGCACCCCAATTGCTCAACAGTTCAGCAGTCCACCAGCTCAACATGCACCCCAGTACATCAGTACCCCAGTCCAGCCAACTTATGTACCCAGTCCTCAACCTGATGTTTACCCACAAAAACAACAGATGACAGTCCGAGAATATATACCAACACCAGTCCACAGCCTACCTTCAAAGACAGATGCAAGGTTCTATGTGCGGCGACAGGAAAAAAGAGGCCGCAGTCGGACATCCAGTGAGGAAGAAGAATTTTACTACAGGAGGTAAGGCTCTATCAATGTATTTTAACTTTTTCTTTGTCATTCAAACAATGAATTACAGGTTTGATAAATGTTGGTGTTTACATGAGTGATGAGAAATGTTTTTAGTGTTGTAGAAGATCAAAACAGCTGCAGGGAATACTTCTTAAATTACAAAACTTGATTCAATGTTTAACGTTCAAGGAAGCCTCATTATGAGGCTGAGATGAAAGGTGCCTGAAGTTGCTGGGAAAAGAAAAGCAACCTTGTAGGTTAAACCATCCAGTTTCTATGACAGATGTAAATCTCGCATGTATTTGTCTGTGATATCTATTGTTAAGTGGTCTGCCAACCTGTTATCAGGTTGGGTCAGTAAACCTATTATATGTACCATTTTTGTCATAAACGCATCTTTCAGTATAGATGTACTTTCTGTCATTACAGGACCCCTCATTCTAAATCCAGAAACCACACTAGTAGTAGCATCAAGAGAGGTTACAACAAAAAGGTAATAATTATTCATTTCATTTATTTATTTCATTTATTCAATATCCAGGTAAAAGCAAAACATACAACAAACAAGATGCTGATTACCTGAGGATTGCCAAAAGTGCAATAGCACTATCAAGTGGCCCTCCTATATTAAACATCTTTACAGGAAAATATACAATATATATACAATTTACATTAATATAAGATGCCAATAAAACAATTTACAGAGGACATACAGAATTGAGTTGAATTTTTAAAACAATTAAAACTCTAGAATAAGCATTCTTATGTCAAGGGAAATTGATTGCCATAAATGAGGAAAATTTTTAAAAATTAAATTCATTCATACTTTTGTTTACTTAATCACTCAGTCATGTGCCAGCTGATAACAATGCTACTAATCCATGTCTGCTACCTAACTATTTGCCAAGGTCAGCATAATGGCTATTTTATTTTACAATATAATAATTTTTTTTTAATTAAAAAAAAAAATAATGCTGATCATAGTTGGTTTTATACTCATATGCCATTATGCTATATTCAAGAACCAATTGGTGATGTAAAGAAGGAAATTTTGTTATTAATATACATTGAACTATTGTTTTTCTTCCATGCAAACCTTTAAACGATATACACTAAATTAATTTTGTAAGATAGGCAATTAGTTATACATATTTTTTTATGAGAAACACAATCATACACTTCTTGCTGAATAGAAGAAAATCATGAAGAAGAAATGTATTCTCAATCAAAGCTAGACTTACCATAGGCCTTCATTCATTTTAAGATCATCACCATATTCTAGGCCACCACTTCCTAGGCCTAGTAAGGCCTATTACTACATCATATGTCGTAAAAGCGGTTTGGAGCAGCGTGAAAGGTTTGGTTTCCCAACCTTGAGGTCGGGGTTTCAATCCCTCGCTGTGCATTTCGCTTGTATCCTTGAGCAAGGCACTTTATCTGCATTGCTTCTCTCCACCCAGGAGTATAAATGGGTACCTGGTGGGGTTGTTTGCTCCTGCGCTGAATACAGCAGCAACTTATGCATGTGGATCCAATGACCAGGGACAGAAGTGCTTCGTATCTGCAAAGAAAGGCGCTATATAAATAAATATGAATAGAATAGAATAGAATCATATGTTAACATTTATTCTTCATTCCAGTGCAGCTGCAACTTTTTATCCTTGATTAATTTTAATGTGATTTGCTTTAAATTGTAATTTTTTGCGAGCTTTGTAATTTCTGCATTTTTATTGGAGACCATAAATTTTATCTTGTATTTTGTAACTACTATATAAGCATAGCGTTTTCTCAGAATTTAAAAAAAATCAACTCGCAAAACTCACAATTCAAACAAAACACACTCTGACAAATTTGATACCAAAGTGTGCAGAAAATCATTGGCTTTTCTATCAGTAAAAAAAGTATATGTGTTAGTCTTATTGCGGCCGTTCTATTATTTAAGAGACCTTCACCATTGCCATTTATGTGAATATGTATTGGTTGCAGTCATTGAAACTATTTGCAATTAGCAAAATTGGCCTGTACACCAAAGGTTTTGTGATTGCCTGTATTTGAAACTGAGAGCATATGGGTTAACGAAACACATACTGTATCTGTTTCCAAATCTAACATGCAAATTAATCAGTTGCTCAATTTCATATTCTTGCCCATCATGCAACAGTTTTCTATTATATATATTGCAGTATTTCATAAGCATTTTTTTATATTACCTATCTCTGTGCAGGCACCATCAAGTTCAAAATCTGACGCAGGCTTAGAGGCTGCCATCCGAGTTGCCCGCCATTTGAAATCCACTTCTCGAAGAATGCTTTCCTGTGTAGAACAGGACCTTAGTAATTCAATGAGTCTGCGTGACATTTTATCGTGACCTCTTCAAATTACCTGAGTATAGACTTGAATATATGAGAGGCTGATTTACTATACATTACCCTCATACACACGTTGATTGTGACATAGGATTGGGTAATTTCTTCCAAGTGCTTGTCTTCCATTTTTTCACATCCTCCTTCATGAAAGTTTTGGAGTGAACAATTTTTTTAAAAGCAAGTAAACTTTCTGGTAGTTTGAAAGAAGTGTTCACAGTGTTGTTTTCACCACCGATAGTATTATTTTGAAAAATCCACCTGATGTCAAATTATGAACAAAGAAATGAGGAGCTTCGTCATACAAGAATGCCGAAGATATTTTGGCGTAGCTTGCATAAACTTAAACTGTGGTAAATAAGTGTACCCTTTCGTCAAAAAGAGGTTGTATTAATAACATAGTTTTATCATTTTAAAATCTTTATAAAAGAATTGTAAAGCATTGAAATTTGTATGCTGAAATTAGCAATGGAGATGTTTTTTATTAAGAGGCTTTTTAAAAGAAAAAAAAACTAACATAAATTATATTTTTACATGATTCCCCCATCAGTTTTATATCAAAAATAAATTTTTAAATTGCCTATTTTAAAAAGAAAATTTACAAATTTAATAATATCTTAGGATGTTTGCCATCAATCATTTATACAAAATTTTGTAAATCTTTAAATTGCTTATTTTTAAAAAATGCAACATGTGGTAAAAATATATTTAAAAATGATTCTCAGATCTTTATATAAATCAATTGTAAATCTTTTAACTTAAGCCTACTTGTACCTTTATTGTGCAAACCATGTCAAAGGTCAGGATATTTTAATATGCAATCTTACAACAGTACATTTTATACAGCAGATTTATTTAAGTTGCTAACTTCACATTATAGGTTAGCCGAAAACTGCAACGCAACTATTATCACACTTCACTAATTTGTATATTATATTCTTTGACCTTTGACATCCATCATTTGTTTGCACGTAAGAAACTTATAAGTCAGTTTGTTGCATTATTATTCTGTTTTTCTATTACTTTGTTGGATGTCATCCATATTATGGACAGGTGCTATTTTCTTACTCCTTCCATTTTATTCAGGTTTTCCACAGTTTGGTTAATAAGAATCTTTAAAGCAATATTGTTAATGTTTCACTTTAATTGTGTGTAAATTGTATCCCTTTTTGTCCCACTAATCCTAGAAATTATTAGTCTCATGCCTAACCGGTTAATTGCTCTGTTAGTTCTGAGTTTCAGTAGTAGAATGCTATACTAGCCTTATCCTTTATGCATACAGGTCATTTTTCTGTATTGTCAATTCTATTTTTGGTACAGATATAGTTTTGTTGGATACCTTCCTTTGATTTTTTTTTTGCAGCAATGAAAGATTGAATTGCATTGTATAATAAGCCTGTCTCAAAATAAGGAATATTATTTTGTTTGTCCAGAGTGGCAATAGTCCAACCCAATGCTGTACTACTCTGGCATTCTATTATTCCAATACTATACTTCCAGTAGTCCATTGTGCTACTATTCCAGAGTTTGAATGTCCCAATACTAGTCTGGTAGTTGGAAGTCCAGAAAAAAAATGATAGAAAGGCAATTTTTGGAAGTACAATTTCTTACTGTATTCTTCAAACCTGTACATCAATAATTGGTATCATAAGACAAATTTAATATACTTTTTATACAAAATTAAGATTATAATGGCAGCCATTGTTCTCCAAGCCTTCTACCACCAATTCATTAAAGAGAAAGGTTTTACACTGTTTAAATATTGCTTAAATGGTATCACAGCCACTCCAAGCTAGACAAATTGTTATGTTCAGTTACCAGATAACAGGCCAACACTCTACTAGTCCAGAGTTCCAATTGTTCACGTCTCTGCTAGTTAAGAGTTCCAATAGACCGATTCTGCAATGTTTGTTTACAGCCAGTCACATGACATTACAGAGTGATCAGTGTAGAAGTAGGCCTATAGGAAAGTTAATGTTATGGTTTCGAAAACAACCCCCCACTGTTAAAGTGTGAAGTAGATGGCAAGGAAAGGCAATACGCTTGTTCAATGTAGTGTTTATTTAAACTTATCCTAGCATTCTCCTTGCATTGTATGCTTTTGAAATTTATGTGATTCTTTGTAAACTTTAGCTAGCCTAGAAATCGTAACATAGTTCGGGGGTCGAAGTCGTGCATACCTAATCAGGCCGTATATATGCAGGGGCCTTGGCCTAACATTTGTTGAAAAATCTCAATGTTATGGGGCCAGTATCGTTTGGAGCATTAGCAAACCATTAGAGCAACATTCTCAAGTTAAATTTCCAATCAATTTGTTATAGTTTACTGGTGTCCCAACCATTCATCGTTATACCTCCTTGCTATGTACAACACTGCTGTGCCAGTCCATTGTTTACATCAAACACCCATTTTAAGTCATGTGACGCCCATCAGCGAATCGGTCTATTGTCCTTTCTCTACTTGTTCATAGTTCAAATCGTCCATGTCTCTTCCAGTTCAGAGTTCCAATTCTCCATGTCTCTTGTAACTCAGAGTTCAAATCGTCCATGTCTCTTCTAGCTCAAAGTTCCAATTGTCCATTTCTCTACTAGTTAAGAGTTCCATTTGTCCATTTCTCTACTAGTTAAGAGTTCCAATTGTCTATTTCTCTACTAGTTAAGAGTTCCAATTGTCCATTTCTCTATACTAGTTAAGAGTTTCAATTGTCCATTTCTCTACAAGTTAAGAGTTCCAATTGTTCATTTCTCTACTAGTTAGGAGTTCCAATTGTCCATTTCTCTACAAGTTAAGAGTTCCAATTGTCCATTTCTCTACAAGTTAAGAGTTCCAACTGAGATATAAACACTCTTACTAGTTCAGACTTTTTAGTCCAATAGGCTGTTGTAAGTCCAATTTTGCACTAGTCCAATGTTTTACTATATATGTTAAAAGCATTTTTTTTCCTCAACTTTCCTAAATTTACAATTATTAATAAATTTATTTACATACTTTTATGTCACTGTGTCTTTCAAGATGTATTACATTTTTAAGAGGCTACTATTACTATGTGGTAATAATTGAATCTGCTTATTTATTTGCATTTTTTAGCAATAAAAAAAAATTAACATTCATCTAAATATTATTCATGTATTTGCAATCCATATGTTATGTACTTTCAGTCTGATTTACCTATCCGTCTTTCAAAATGTTATTTGCAACCACAAATAGGTAATAGGTAGTTTTTTTGACGTTAACCTTAACTCTAACTTTAGTACCCAACATGCAACGCGATAGCTACGCCTCTTTTGTAAACAAATTGAAATACGCATGCACAAACCCGTAACTAACGTACGTAGACCACATAAAATCCTGTAATTAACATACTCCGCAACGCAAGATGAATAAATTATGACGTCATACGTTAAAGTTAACGTTGTACCGCTAAAACTACCCATTATTGTCATCCTCCCTTTGTTCTTTAGAAAATACAATTTCTGCAGAATAGTTGTTAAACAAAGAATAGAAAACCTATGAAATGTTTTAAATATCAGTACAGTATTGCATTATAGATATTAAGTCACCTGGAAATATTTGTTGATTTAATACAAATATAAAATGTAAATAATAATATATTTTCCACCTTGTCTTTAATTGCTGTATTAAAACTAGTTTATTGAGTTATAATGTTTGTGGTCATTGAATTTCTGACCAATTGGTAACCTCCTTTTTTCTTCAGTAATGTGATGTCTGTCAATTCATAAATATATTTTGTCTAATTTCCTATGATATATAAAAATTGAATGTTTATGAGTGCAATAGGAAGAATATTTTCATGAGTTGAAAGATTGACTGTTCCTTTCAACGAGGCAGAGCCGAGTTGAATGAAACAGTCTATCTTTCAACAAATGAAAATATTCTTTCGATTGCGCAAATAAGAAAACATTCATTATTTGTATTTTAACACACCTATAATAGATGCTTGTCATTTTATGTTTTATGGACAAAATCTACTTTTTTTTGTGAATGGAGATTCTTGTCATTTGATATTTTATGAAAAAAGTACCCTTTTTCTAAATGGAACAGTCCATCATTCCTTCAAAAATTGAATTGAGTTGAAGTCATACTTATTGTATCTTAGACGCTGTGCAGTGCAGCGAAACGAATGGAAAAAATGCATGGATGGATGTTAAAATGCATGGCGGAAACAAATTTTCATGATGAGTGATGAAATGGGTTAATAATCAATATCAGTGATATGTCTAATTTTTATACCTCCTTGTGTAATCCAACAATCAAATGACAAGGATCTATTTAGGTGTGTTTTAAAATTAATATTTAAATTGCTTGCTGTATATACTTGTTCATTGGCTTGTTTTGAAAATTAGAAAAAGGTATATTTATGTTCCAACTTAAACAGGTGTCTAAATATACTATTTGTCCTTTGACTTGTAATTATTTTTTTAAAGATTTAAAAGTATTTAAATCACCTGAATTATTTGTTTTTGATCTGCTCAATTGGTAGCTAATAATCTGTATATTAGATCCTTTGATCCTTCGAATGAGCTATTCTATTACTTTTAATTTATGGTTTTAGGGTTTTTTTGAAGATTTTATTATGGATAGTATACAAGAACATCATTTTAAGACTCATTACAAGTCCTGGTCAAGGGCTTGTGTTGTTTTTAGAGGTAGAAGAATCCAAAAATGTTGGATGGGTAAACTTGTCATTCTCGATTGGATGAAAAGCATCAACCAAGTTAGAGCCCCACTACACCTTAATGTATTACCAGGCTGATAGAAGATTTTGTTTTGTAAAATGGAAGATGTCCATTTTATTCAAATTTGCTATAAATGAACATGGTGTAAACAATTTTTGAATCTGAGAAAGAAGGTGCTATTTTGATACTTTGTGAATATTAAAACTACAAGTTAAAATCATTGAAGTTGTCAACATGATTCTGTTTACTTCAGTATAAAAAATAAATTGCTCTTGTATGAATATGGAATATAATACAACAAGTAAAATGTGTACATTTACGATTATATGTACCTTTACAAACCATGGAAAACAGGCTTTCTTATTTTAGGCGGAGATTGCCTTCCATACATATCCTTAGCTACCAAGAATTGTGTAAATTTCAACCGTCAGTGAGCACGTGTTACAGATTATATCACAAAGGTATGTCACACCATGGAGGTATAAAATAGACAAATAAATGTGTGAATTTTTTATACCTCCATGTTCAATCAAGGAAGAAGAGCTCAGAATGATTACACTTACATTTTAAAAACATGCATAAAATATTAGGGTACATTAAAAATGGTGGTAGTGGTGGTGATGATGGTGATTTTTTGTGTGTTGTGACGACGACGGCAGCGAATACGACGAAGATAATGATTACATTGTATTTCATTTCATTTATTTTATTTGTCTCAAACAATTAAAATGTACATAAACAGAAACGGCAAAGACAAAAAAACAAGAGACAGGACACTCCAAAAGTAAAATTAATCACTGTCGAGTGGAGGCCCTTCACGAGAAAAACACAAATACTTGTAAAAATAAAATTCTTCAAAAGGTAAAAAATCGAAATTAAAAATTATCTTAAAATGTTCAATGTAAAAATGTCAAACAAATCATCAAAAATGTCATTGCGCTTAGAATATATAAAACAAGATTAATTAAAAATTAAAAATATAAAAAGTGTAAAAATAAAATAAAAATTAAATTTAAAAATTAATTTCAATAATTAAGAGTTAGCGTAATGTTTATTCAGATTAAGAAAATATTTGTAACTAATATTAAGGAGAGAATTTCGGAGGTCAGCAGGTAATGTCTTCCATAATCTAGGAAATGAATTAAAAATTTAGTATTTAAAAGTATTTGTCCTGGCAAAGGAATGAGAAAATTTAAGATTGTCTGTATGCCGCGCATTAATAGAAATATACGAGAAGATGTCAAGGTGATATAAACAAAATAGGCACTTGCAAACAAAGGAGATGGACATCATATCAAATCTATCTTTAACTAAAATTAAATTTAGCTTAGTTAGCCTATCGTCATAAAATCAATAACAACTTTTAAAAGGAAAACAAGTCCTTGTAGCCCAAGCTTATGTATGTGGCCAGATTGATACGGGTACCACGCTGGTGCACCATATTCAAGTACAGGACGGACAAGAGTTGTGTAGAGATTGAGAGTGACAGGATTCTTATTACTACTCGTATAATTTCTATGGATTTAATCTGAAATAAAGTGAATGAATTAGTTGTACCCTTATTTTAGCTAGACAAGGCCATTTCATCAACAACAATATGGTTTAACACAAACAGCATAATATCCAATCTGTTCAATATCAGAGATGTGAAATATCCTTGATACGAATTGGACCGAGCTTGCCACACTTTTATTTCCAAGGGGGTTATTTAACTCTAAAAATGAATATTATATCTTTTACTCTATACCCTTTAGAATAAATTATGAAGTCACAATTATCTTGTTACTGGGGTATCCTCTTCAAAGAAGGTTTACTACCATTTCCATTAACATTTGATATCACTTAGCCAGGTGTTTCTTATACTTCCTATACCCCGCTTCCTTTTTGTTTCCCCTCAAATATTTTCAAAGAAAGAATGCAGGGTGGATTTAGGGAGGGAGAATGGGAAATTTATCCCCCCACCCACAAGTTTTGTGACTGTCATTGCCACAGCAAATTACAAGTATGGAATGCAAATACAAAATGTTACAATATTGCATAACATCATTACTGAAAATGTATTTCTGGGCGTCTATTAAACATGTTTTTTTTTTTTTTTTGGGAGACTGCCGCGGGGGACAGGGGGACATGTCCAACACTTTTCAAAATAGGGGGACATCATACCAATTTCCCCCCCCCCCCCCACTGCAATTAAAATCCCACTTTTCAAAGCGAATGGAAAGAATGACTGTCAGGAATTTTGTCTGTTCACCAAAACCGAGTGAAAACGCAATTGTTTGTCATTTCGTAACCATCTCAGTAATCACTACATCGATTTTATGGGTGCAACGGTTATCAAAGGCTAAATTTATTGTGAAAACAATGTACTGTACGTTGTTGAAATTGGAAGCATGTAAACTTGTTAGGTCAATATTTTTAGAAACTCAAATGTGCACAATTTCTACTATAAACGATTTATTCCTTTTGCATGACCCGTTCTTACATACTAGTGTATAATATTAACTGCATACATAGATTTCTGTTTTTCCTAATTTCAAAATATTATAGTTAGTAAATTTAATTTTATATAACCGTTAATAAACAATAACTTTATAGCCTTTTACACGGACAGGTCTATCTATTTAGATTCCTTTAAGTAGTAATACCACACGTTTACAAACTCCAGTGTTACGTTGACGCAATCTCGCAAAGACGTCATAATAATCAGTGGCGGATTTAAGAAGTGGGGCCATTACCGGTAATTATTATTTAGGGCCTAAAGTTTTGTTTACTTGGCCAATGGTAGGTACTTTTGGTACTTGGTTTGCTTCCTCCTGAATCTTCCACGAGGGAAATTAACTAGGAGATCTCAGGGAAGGGGTTTAGTTGTTTTAATTTTATTCACTAAATTAATTTATTAACGATTTAAAAAAAAATGAAAGAAAAGCCACACCTCCAAACTCTTGTGCTCTGGTTGCAAATCATATAGGCTAGGAGCTTTCAGTATTGAAGTTTGCCCATTAATGATAGAAGAAGAAATATACTATACTATAGAATTAGGTATTAACAATTTTTATACTATTTTCCGAAATAAAATCGGATAGTATTAGCGAAGGATAATTGTCAAAAATTAGGCATAGACGTACACTCCTAATACCGAGTTAGATTTCGTTTACGTTTACAGCTAGCCCTACTGCATTGTTTCTTGCTGCTGAGCCTGAATCGATTTCAACATTTAATTCATTTTTTGAGCTGCTTAAAAGCATTTTTTCACTAATACCATCTGCAAATCGTGACAGTTCTCAATTCTCATTTTGTCCATTCTATGGTGTATTTTTTCTCTAGGCCAGTGTACAGCCTTGATGACGTAGTGTCTTCTGTAAAGAATCGTATACTCATGCACTGATAATTTTTTGCACTTTTACTTAATACACAACATATTTTATTTATTCAAATTTAAGGGAGCAGATTATAGTTAATGATGAGTTATGACATAATTTGTTTCTTATTAAATATTTATTATTTCAGCCGTGTTTTGTTTTTTCATAATGTTTGTATTTATTGTGCTGCCAAAAATATTCAGTGTAATGTCCATTGAATAAAACTGAAGTAGGCCCAAATTAGAGTAATGTGTTATGCGAAATGTAAAGAGAACATATGCAGATATTTGACTACGACCGAGTGGAAATAATGTAGACCTTACGCACCAAATGCTAAAAATTATATTATTACTGCACCAATATTATTATGATGATCCACTATAAATAAGCGCCGATCTCAAATTAACGGGTATAGGCCCGATGCCACCCGGCCTTTTGCCACTCTCTTCTGGTCATTTGGTTACCTGGATTTTGTGATTTAGTCCTCGAATCGAAGAACCTAACCTATATCCTTTTAAATCGTATTGGTCCGGTGCCATAGCCGCCGGAAGAATTTTGCATGTGGTCCGGCTATTATAAATAAATGAATAACTTTTTGTTGGCACCTGAATGCCCGCAAATAACAGCTGGTAACCAGGACCCACTACCTTTCTCCTCACATGGGAAGCCACAACATTTTAAAGTCAGCATAAAAATAGAGTTCTTACCCACCTCAGTCCCACCATGGTTGGAGCTAAGGTGAGCAAATTTTGGAAATATGACACCTCTTGAAGCCCGGAAATAGGTGGCAAACCTGAGAGAGTCTACTCCTCCTCCACACTGTTGCATAATTATTGTGAACGTCATTTTATATCATTGCGTTCATCGTGCATGTTTTGAAGAATTAAAATTATATACTGATTCCATTGGTAGTCATTTCCTTAAAAAAAAATCGATTCTTATCCTACAATCATCAACATTATCATCATCACCATTATCATCATCAACATCATCATTATCATCACCACCATCATCATCTCCCAACACCATCATCGTCATTATTATTATCATCATCATCATCATCATCATCATCATCATCATCATCATCATCATCTTCATTACCATCATCGTCATCAACAATCGACACAATCATTATCATTATCATCACAGCAATCAACATTATTATGATAATCTTCAACAATCATCAACACCATCAATATAATCATAAGCACCACCATCATCATGGCCATCAGCATCAACATCATCATCGTCATATCATCATCAATATCGTCATAACTACCACCATCATCATCATAATCATTATCACAATCATCATTATCATAGGAATGACACTTAAAAAAACAGAAACAAAACAAAACAAAACAAAACAATGCATAATTGTTGTTTATGCCTCACAGGTGGCGTTTTAAATATACTGCAAGAATGTGGAGTTGAAAGACTACGAAGGAGACTTTACAATTAATAATAAATGTGAGTACAGTATTGAACATTTTGCATCGTTAATTCAATAGTTGAATGGGTATTCTGTCATACTATGGTTATTATTTTGTTAGGCATTGAAGGCATTGGCAATTTCCTCGACAGAGGCATGTATTAACCTTGCTGCAGTCCATTCAACAACAACACACATTCCATGTGACTCACTAAAAGCATAAAAGACCTGAAACTGGATAAATAAACTCTATTTACAGCTTGGGGTTTTTAACTTTCGTTCGTTGTTTACATCCGTTTATCTGTTTGACATTATATAAAATTTATTATCAAAAATCATGTCATTATGTGTGCACAAATTTTAATCATGAATAATCAAAATGTGCTATACCCCGACAAAAATATTTTCCATATTATTTTTAAAGGACAAC